GCAAATATGGTGTTTCCCACTGTTAATAAAGGTTAATTCATCTGCTCCTCAATCTTTTTCATATCCCAATACCAAATGCCTGAGCTCCTGGGTACGGTACAGAGATATAAGACAAACTACCCTGTAACAAAAAAATTTAAAAAAGAAAAAAAATGCTAAAGAACTGAAGGCAAGCTTTCTTTATCAATAATCTGCTTTTTGGCTCAAAAACTATATTGACAAAGTATACCCTAGTTAAGAATTTTTGATGTACTGTAAGTAGAAAAGACCAGCTCGTGTTAGCCTAATCAAAGCAAATGATCACTTTAAAAATGGATCTGATTTGGGCCAGGCGCAGCGGCTCACTCCTGTAATCCCAGCACTTTGGGAGGCCGAGTCAGGCAGATCACGAGGTCAGGAGATCGAGACCATCCTGGCTGACATGGTGAAACCCCATCTCTACTAAAAATACAAAAAATTAGCCAGGTGTGGTGGCGGTCACCTGTAGTCCCAGCTACTCAGGAGGCTGAGGCAGGAGAATGGCATGAGCCCGGGAGGCAGAGCTTGCAGTGAGCCGAGATGGCGCCACTACACTCCCACCTGGGTGACAGAACGAGACTCCGTCTCAAAAAAAAAAAGAAAAGAAAAGAAAAGAAAAAAGAAAAAAAGAAAAAAAAATTGGACTTGATTTGCTGGGATAACTGGCTAGTCATATGCAGAAGAATGAAACCATATCCCTACTTTTCACCATATACAAAAATTAACTCAAGATGGATCAAAGATTTAAATATAAGTCCTTAAACTGCACCAATCCTAGAAGAAAACCTAGGAAATAACCATTTTCAACCTTGGCCTTGGCAAAGAATTTATGACTAAGTTCTCAAAAGCAATTGCAACAAAAACAAAAGTTGATAAACAGGACCTAATTAAAATAAAGAGCTTCTGCATAGCAAAGGAAACTATCAACATAATAAACAATCTAAAGAATGGGAGAAAATATTTGCAAACTATGCATCTGACAAATATCCAGAATTAATAAGGAACTTAACTCAACAAACAAAAGACAAATAACCCCATTAACAAATGAGCAGAGGGGCCAGATGCGGTGGCTCACGCCTGTAATCCCAGCACTTTGGGAAGCCAAGGTGGGTGGATCACAAGGTCAGGAGATCAAGACCATCCTGGCTAACATAGTGAAACCCTGTCTCTACTAAAAATACAAAAAATTAGCCGGGTGTGGTGGCGGGCGCCTATAGTCCCAGCTACTTGGAAGCCTGAGGCAGGAGAATCACTTGAACCTGGGAGGCAGAGCTTGCAGTGAGCCAAGATCTTGCCACTGTACTCCGTCGTGACCCTGCACTCCAGCCTGGGCAACAGAGCGAGACTCCGTCTCAAAAAAAAAAAAAAAAAAAAGTGAGCAGAGGGCATGAACAGACACTTTTCAAAAGAAGACATACAAGTTGCCAACAAAAATATGGAAAAATGCTCAATATCATTAATCATCAGAGAAATGAAAATCAAAACCACAATGAAATACCATCTCAGACCAGTCAGAATGGCTATTATTAAAAAGTCAGAACATAACAGATACTGGGGAGGCTGCAGAGAAAAGGGAATGTAAATTAGTTCAGACACTGTGGAAAGCAGTTCAGAGAGTTCTCCAAGAACTGAAAACAGAACTGTCATTTGACCCAGCAATCCCATTGCTCGTTATAAATCTGTATTAGTCAGGCTTCTGTAGAGGGACAGAACTAATAGGATAGATATATATTGAGGAGTTTATTAAGGAGTATTGACTTACACAATCACAGGGTCCCACAATAGCCACCTGCAAGCTGAGGAGCAAGGAAGCCAGTACAAGTCCCAAAGCTGAAGAACTTGGAGTCCGATGTTTGAAGGCAGGAAGCATCCAGCACAGGAGAAAGATGTAGGCTGGGAGGCTAGGCCAGTCTAGCCTTTTCATGTTCTTCTGCCTGCTTTGATTCTGGCCACACTGGCAGTTGACCAGATTGTGCCCAACCCAACTGAGGGTGGGTCTACCTTTCCCAGTCCACTGACTCAAATGTTAATCTCCTTTGGCAACACCCACACCAACACGCCCAGGAACAATACTTCACATCCTTCAATCCAATCAAGTTGATACTCAGTATTAGCCATTACAATATCCAAAGGAAAATAAATCATTCTATGAAAAACACACATGCACTAGCATATTCATCAAAGCACTATTCACAATAGAAAAGACATGGACTCAACCTACGTGCCCATCGACGTGTAGGTTGGTGGATTGGATAAGGACAATGAGGTACATATATACCATGGAATAATAGCCACAAAAAGAATGAAATAATGTCCTTTGCAGCAGCATGAATGAATGTAGAGGCCCCTATCATAAGCAAATTAACATAGGAACAGAATACCAAATCCCACATATTCTCACCTATAAATAAGAGCTAAACATTTGGTATGCATGGACATAAAGATGAGAACAATTGATACTGATGCCTACTATAGATAGGAGAGAGGGATGGAGGAAAGAGCCCAAGCCTCAGCTTCATGCAATAAACCCATGTAACAAGCCTCACATGTACCCCTTAAAGCTAAAATAAGAGTTAAAATTGTTTTTTAAAATCCTCACTTTACTCAATTCCTCACTTCACTCAAATGCCGTCATTTCATTCTTTTGACTTCACTCAAATATCATGTCAAGGCCTTCACTAGTCATCTATCTAAAGTTGAACCTCCACTCACGGTACTTCCCACAGCATTTTAGTTTTCCTCTTACACTTAACAAACCTACCATAGTATTTTAATTATTTATCTTGTTTACTTTGTATTTTCAACATCTGAATATAAGCTTCATGAGGGCAAGGATCTTTGTGAATTGTTTTTCACTCCTGTATCTATAATGCCTAGATTAGTGCTTAGAACATAGTAGATACTCAATCAATAATAATTGAATTAAAGAATCAGGACACAATTATGCTTCATGCAACTCTAAGGCAAGTTAATCTGGGATTTACAAAAGACAAGGAAACAGTAGGAACTTTGGAAGCTTCTCTCTGTGGGTTTATAGCTTCTCCCTACATGATCTTCTCTGTGTCTGTGTCATTTGTGCTGCCTCATTTTCATTGATTCATTGTGTGAAAACTGAGTTCCTATGAACTCACTTCCATCCAAAATCTCAGCTAGATTCTCCAGACCTCCATGTTTCTGGAAGAGATCATCGGGTTGACCAACATTGGGTTGAGGTGTTCTCCCCTTGTGGGCAATCAATAGTAGCTGAAGGAATGGGGTCACAGAATGCAAACAGGGATCCAAGGAGCATACATATGGATGTGGGAAAGGGTTTATTTCATAGATTTTTAGATATTTTCCAGACTCACATTTACACCCTTTCACCAATATATAAAGATACTCAAAGCAAATAAGACAGGTTTAGAAAGAAGATGGCTTTCTCTACCCTGGCCTTGTATAAATGAGTAGAATCATCTGATAAAGAGGGTACTATAATAAAAAAAAAATCAGATTCTGCATAGCCACATCCTAGGGGGATACAGTCTGAAAGAACCAAGGCTATTAGTAGCAACCAATTTTCAATGCCTTAGGATAGAATTTTTCAACCTTAATTTTTGTGTGTCCCTTCTCATTTAATGTTCTAACACCTTATGGGCAGCCTTCATGATGTAGTATAATCCTACTTGTATTCACCAATTGAATGTGCAAATAAAAGACAAGGAACTATTAAGACTTAAGTAACACATTTAAACAAGTTTGTATTTTAGAAATCACAACAATATCTATATACAGTTAAAAATAATAGTACAGCTATGTGTAAGACTTACTTCTTTTGTTGGCAGACATTGGTTTATAGATATCTCACAGTAATTGTGCTAGTTGGGAAGGTCTGTGGTCAATAGGTTGGGAACTACCACAGATATACTCACTGTATTCAGGCCTTCAAACAATTTGTTCACTCTTTCATTAAGTCAGTACGTTCTTATACACTTACTTTTTGCTAAGCACTATGCTAGTGGTGCATAAGATAGATGTGGTCTCTGTCCACAGTAAATGTACATGGTTAGCAATTATTCACTAGTACTCTTAGGCCCTTGGATGATCGTTATAATTATACAACATATAAAAGTAGAATAATGTAATAATCTCTGTTCTTCAGATAAAGAAAGTGGGTACACAGTTGTCCAATGATTTGGCAACGTTTATACAGCTCATAAGTTATATAACCAGGACTTGGAGCGCTAGGACTCACAAAGGAAGCAGTTATGTGAAGGAGTTTTTAAATACAATACTCTAAGTTTTCTAATATAGGATTTTACAAAGTTTTATGTGAGCTCATAGAATAGAGTGACAATCTTCCAGTTCCTACAACAGATAGGGGCAAGGAAAGCATGACATTTGCAGAAAGAAAGAGGGTCTGAGTCTCAGTCCATCCGCAAACAATTTTTTGACCTTTGACAATTGCTCAACCTCTGAATCTTGTGTATGTTTTTTTTTTTATCAGAAAAAAAAATGAAAACAACACACCGCTTTTCACATTTTGGTCTTTGATAAATAATAAATATCAAATATATGCCAGACATTATTTAAGAATTACAGGATATATTATGGAAGTGCTGGTATATAGTATAGACTCAATAATTATTAATTTTATTCCTTAACTTTTGTTTTCCTAGTAAACTCTGAATTTATGGAGGTAGGAATTTGGAGAAAAGCTTTGTCATCTTTTTCAGGAGTGTTCATTTCACTTTGGTGTCTCTGGGACAAAGAACAGTTTTGACTCATTTCTGTGCCCTGGCTGTCTTTAGTTCACTGATCTGTAACAGCCATAAATATTACTTTGGCCGGGTGCCCTGGAGTCATAAGAAGTGAGGGGTAATTTTAGGTCTTGACTACTCTGTTGGCAACAAAAGCCTTAATTGGCAATCAATGTGTGTAAAGTCATTTAGGAAAGAATGAATGGGCTGCACGTGGCCACAGGCTGTTCCTACACTGGAATCATAGGGAACTTGCTCCGAGAATCTGATGTTAGAGGATGTTTTACACCTGCTGTTCTCCCTGCTGGAAGGACAGCTACCTTTTCACAGAATAGGTAAGCCATTTTGCTGACTGTAACATTACCATCATCCCCAACTCTGACCTTTCTTACTAAATGAATACCAAGGATGAAGGATAGTGGGTTAAATCTTGAAATGCTATTTAAAGGGGCCTGGGTTCCAGGCCCAGCTCTGTGTAATTTGTATAATTTAATGAGCATCTCTGGACTCCATTTTCTCCCTTTCCAAATGGAGGAAATGTGTATTGGAGTTGTCTATGCTCATTGAAAATGATTACGTACTACAACAACAATACATCAGGATATTCATGTGTGGACAGCTTTCTGTATTTAGAAGACAGGCAGACTCTAGGCCTATGTTTATACTGACATTTTCTTGTTAATTAATTCTCCATCCTTTTCTGTTTGCGGTCAGGGAAATCTTCCTTGTAGTGAAGAGGGAGGGATAAGGTTCAAAACAAAAGGGATAGGTTTAGCATAGTATGAAAACCTTTGAAGTGTTAGAGAAAATACAAGGAGGGTAACAAGATTTGAAGGGAACTGGGGATTTTGCTGATTGTGTTGATGTTTTTGATTCGGTCTGTAACTAATTCAATTGTCAAACACATCAGGACTCTGAGCTAGGAGCAGTAAGGGGGAAAACAGATCTGTATCAATTTCTCTCCTCAAGGGACTCAGATTCTCACTTGAGAAATGGGACAGATGGGGCAGAGCTGCCAAGGTAAGAAAAATAATCCCCTCCATTAGGCAGTGTATTCTTAAACCAGATAAGTGGCATGGACATTGAGTTCAGATGTAGGAGATATGAGGTGACAAGGGAAAGAGTCTCAGCGAAGCCAGGCCTTAGAGGCAAGTAAATGTGATTCAGCTTGTCGACAGATGAGGAGAGGGCATGTGCATTCCAAGTGAGGAGTAACCTGAGCCAAGAGGCACAGTTAGACCACCATGGCTGGATTGAAAAGTTCTTATTATGAAATAATGGCGATTAGATGAAAGGTATGTATTAGTCACCTTGGAAATGATTTTTAACATTGAATTTAAAGAAAGTCAGCTGAAAGTCAGTGCAAATTATTGATGGTTATGGCTAAGGTGGATCAGCCCTGAATGTGAAGTAGCCAGTGCAGTGGCCTTCAGTACTAACTCTCCCCAACCCACCCTCCTTCTTTGCTCTTCACTTCCATCTTCATGAGACCAATAAACGTGGGCAAAAATTGCCTTTAGAAGAATTTGAAAGGAGTTCCATTTGCTGTTGGCCCTTCTTCCAGGCCTACCAGGTTTGTGGTGGCCTTACATTGTCTTGCAGCATCCCCTTGGGGTAGTGTCCCATATCCCTGTCCTTTATCACCTGTTGAACTTCAACTGTATCTGTACTGAAGCTTCCACTTGTACCCCAAGTCTGTTTCCTAAGACTCCAGTTGGCTGAATTGATAAAATGATTGAGCTAACGGCTCTGAATGAATTCAAAAGAGAGAGTTAGACTCCCCCCACTCCACACACACACTTTTTAGACACTAGATGTCAGGTTTGATTCTGGTCACTAGAAGTAGTTCTTTTGCAAAAATCCAAAGAGGTAATCCTAATGGTAAGAAATACAAACAGGACAAGAGGATGTAAGGGATCTTTCAGCTTCACTGGCAGGTGAATGCCGGGGATGCTCTGCTCAAACAGTATCCTAATCTTGGAAGTCTTGTTACAACTTTCTCCCTATGAAAAACACTACTCCCTTTCAAAGGTCAACTAAAATATCGCCACCCTTGGGAAGACTTCTTCAACACCTAATAATAATTAACTGCTTGTTCTTCATATCATCTTTAACAAAACTGTTTCTCTTATTATCTTTAATTTACAAATGAGAAAAACCAAAGTTTAAAGCAGTTAAGGACATGTTCAAGGTCATGGAGGTAGTAAGTGGTTAGAGACATGGGGTCAAAACTCTTAACCCCCAGTTAGTCCATTAAAATTTTCTCTCTTCTTCCTCTGAGTCCCTAAAGCATTTTGCTTGTGCCTTTATTATAATAACAACTAGAACAGTCTGTTTTGGACTATGATCAAGTGTATACTTCACAGTTAGCCTCAATAAATTACAAACCCCTTGAGTATCTCATAGTGTGTGTGTATGTATGTGTGTGTGTGAGTATAATTGTCTTATTCATCATTTTATCACTCATAGCACCGAATGAGTACCTGATAAGAATAACATGCTCAGTAAGTTTCATTTGAATTATTGAAAACAAATCAGGAGAAAGCATGACAAAATTTTCCTTAAAGTTGTCATTGTTATTTTTTCCGTATTCACGTGTGTGTGTGTGTGTGTGTGTGTGTGTGTGTAAGATTGTGTGTGTGTGTAAGATTCAGGGAAAACTTATTGGCCTAAGTTCACGTCAGATGCCTGTTATTTTACCTGCTGGGAATAGTCTGAAGGTAGAAAACACAGCAGAAATTGGTCTATGAAGCCACTGTTATTTTACAGAGGAAATAATCCTGAAATGTCTATGGGCGGTATCCACAGAACTCCCAGAGAATAAAGCCAACTACATTTCTAATGTATGTCCCTGACAGGATTCCCTCCACATTTATTATTTAGTGTAAATTATATGATAATGATTTTTTAGCTTTCTCCTCCTGGCTTTATCTTTTACCTAAGAAGGAATTCAACCCTAACTCTAGTTGTCTTCAGTAAGGGGTAGGGATTTTAGAGGAATTTTAGCTTCCCTTTCCTTCTTGCAGTAAGCACTATGCAGAAAGGTTTTTCAAGATCAAAATGCAACTCGATGCAGGTTCAAGTGTAGCTCCCTTCTTCCCACTCAGTACAGTAAAATGCCCTGGAAAGACGTCCACAGCCTTTCCTTGGCCCAAATTGCCAATCCACACAGTCACTTTCTAGAATCAAACCCTGAGCCAGACATTATTCACCCACCTCCTTGTTTGGATGCTAGGTTTATTCCAAAACATCCTTCAGCTGAAAACATTGTTTTGAATCTGTGTCTAGGAGTATAATCTCCCCACTTACCCCAGGAGCTCTCCAACTCTCTCTCTTAAACTAAAAAGTAGATACATTCTAGCACTATGCGTAGCACATTGTAGGCACTCACACCAGATATGGCCACACTTTATTTCTCTTATGCAGATTAACAAATTCACCAAAGGTAAGTCACCTTCAAGATACAGCAAAAGGAAGGCCCGAATCAGTTTTGTTTTCATTAGTGCTACCCTTTGCCTCTGTCCAATTCAGGATCCACGCATGTTTAATTCATATGTATCACAGGCTAATAAGCAACAGAGAGACGCTTAGTGTACAGGGTCTGGTGTCAGAGAACTTGGATAAAATCCCAGCTCTGCAGCAGATTACCTCTGCAACATCAGAAAAGCTACCTAACCTCACTGAGTCTAGGTTTATAAAATGCACCTACCGCAGTGACTGCCTCATAAGGCTGTTGAGTGTGTTAAATAAAAGGATGACCACAAAGCACTTATCACACTGTCTGTTCTACACATTTGAGTTATCTCATAGAGTGTGTGTGTGTGTGTGTGTGTGTGTGTGTGTGTGTGTGTGTGTATTTTTTTATGTTGACCAGGCTGGTCTTGAACTCCCAGGCTTAAGTGATCTGCCCACCTAGGCCTCCTAAAGTGCTGGGATTACAGGTGTGAGCCACTGCACCTGACCTCAGAGTGTTTTTATCATCATAATCAAGTTCTTCCCATGTCAAAGTGAAAAGGCAGCATGGGCTTGACTCCCTTTCTCATGTTACCATGTATTAGATGTGTGGGCTCAGGTAAGTCCCCAAATGTCTCATAACCTGAGTCTCACCTTCTCATGTGTAAAATTAGACTAATAATAATAACCACTTCTTTGGGTGGTCATAAGCACTGGGTACTAATATTTGTAAAATCCTTAGCACATAGTCTGACTACACTAATGCACTTAATAAATATGATCATTAAAATTTATTAGCAGGTATATGAGTATCATATTATTAGTAGTAGTGGTATCATAGTATTATTAGTATCATATTAATATTATTATTATCATCATCACATTATCATTAGTACCCATATGAGTATCATTATTAGCAGCAGTAGTATCATATTAGTATCACTAGTATTGTTAGTATCATATTCATATTATTATCACATTATCATTACTATCAGTCAGTTGTATGCTTTTAGGAACAACAGCAGACTTCTCTAGAACATCCATCTCTGGCTTTCCTTAACTTTCCAAATGCTTTCAGATGCTGAACACCTAAGGCAGCACACCAGGTGGCATTATTTTGCCACTGGAAACACAATGCCAGTGTGTGAGTAGAGTGACCAGCCATTTGGCTAAAAATATTTCCATGGAAACCTGCAACTGAGCTTCTTAGTCCTGGGAATTGTTCTCCTCCCTCCCTTCCTCTTTCTTTCACTCTCACATGTTGAGTATATAGTTATCTACCGCAAATGAATAACAGGAACTTTGATCCTAGGTTTAAACACTCCTCTCTTAAATTTACCTCTCTTCTGAGAATTTTTTTGGTTCTTTCCTTTTCTCTCCCTATTTGAATTTTGTTGGGAAGACAGGTATCCTGCTCTGACTCTGTGACAGGCATCTCTTGTTTGTGACATGGCACTTTAGGGTTAGAGAGGAAAGACGTGTGTACTCACTCTCTCTGCTTCTTCAGACTCTGTTTATTTCTCAGCAAATAAATGTTTGCTTTGTAACCCTTGCTCCCCAATGTGTACACACACACACAATTCTCTTTTTTCAAACACATGCTTCCCTAGATGTCTAAAACCTTATTAGACAATAACTTTTTCTGCTTTACCTCCTGCCTCTTTGATTGTTCCTTCTCATTAATTTTGATGAGTTCCTTTCCTCCATGCTTATGAAAGATTTCTTCTAAATTATACCTCCTTCATACATGTACACTTCCCCCAGGATCCTTGTCTTTATGAATAGAGCCACTCATTTTCTCAAGCCAGTAAGCTGGACAGAGTCCTTGAGTTCTTATTCTTCTCTATCAACAAAACACACACACACACACACACACACACAC